TCTTGTATTATTAATTTAAATGTAAATTTATTTACACTTTCTTATAGCTTGGGAGCAAAGAATCAACTTGGTCATGATCATTAAGATTTTAGATTGGTATTATAAAGGAGTACATCAAAGTACATGATTTTTAGAAGTTCCTTATCAAGAAAACATTATTAGATTTAAGATTAGAGATAATTTCATATGCTTTTTATCATCATGATTTTCTTCACATGATTGTGCCTCTAGAATTGATGGGAATGGGCTTATCATCTAATGAAGTATTTTTTCATGACTTTGATGATGTAGTAGAAGTATGCCACTTTCATTGTTTTTCAATATGAAACTTGCTACTTAAATTAGTGAATTAGATTTAAATCATGATTGAATTCAAAGCTTGTTAATGTTCATGGATATGGCTATGCTTTTCCCCAACTATTTCCTCACAACTAAATGCTTGGTTGCATGATTGTCGAGATACTTTCAATGGTTTATATAAAGGTAAGCATTATCTTTAGAGGGTTGGATTGTGGTTTGAAACTATTTGCTTCTTTTTTTTCTCAAAAATGAAAAGTTGGAGACAATAATATAAGGAATATTGATCTTTTTATTGTATTATGATTATAAGTGGGAATAAAAAATACTTTAAATGATTGTTAATTTGTATGTTGCGTGTATTTAAATTGGCAAAGCATTCTAGATATAGTGTATGGTAGTTTTAGATATTGTTGTGGGCTTTGAAAATTTGTGCTCCAACCTCTCTGTACTCCATTTTATTGATAGAAAAATTTTTAACGAGATTGATCTTACATGATAAATTTTTAAAAGGCATATTGTATTTTATATAAGACACTACATAGTGATTTCGTTCTCATTTCTGGAGGATATTATGATCTGAGGTATAGTTTCTCATAGGTGCAAAGTCTTTATAGTTAATTATGTTCCTCGATATCGAGAGAGAACTTTCAACAAAGGCTAGTTATTATATAGGCACTAGGTACCTAGCATATAGAGCAAAACTTTAGGTTTTGTAAGCTGAAGTTTTAGGATGGTTAGAGTTCTGAAATTTATAACCGTACACTTAAATTGGGTGATAAGGGAATGATGATGAGTCTGATCAAGATCTCATTAGTTCCATCATCTTAGGCTATCATGCCCCTAGTCTACTTAGTTAGAGGAGATAGCGACCCAACTTAACCGAATGATCCTTATTGGAAATCATAGGTTATTTCATCCAATGGATCCTTATAGACTTGATGTGGGTGTTTATCGTAAGGTGACGCATTTAAGTCAACCTTACGTGACAAAAGTTTTGTGTCCTATCAAGCATATTCTATGATTAATTACTTAAATGATTATATTTTTAAATTTGGAGATATTTCTTTGAAAAATTGGTGGACACATCCATTATCTAGGTAATGCTAAAATCACTTTTCAAATATTTGAACTTTATTAGAATTTTGTGGATTAATTTAAATTATGGGTTCTCTCCAATTAAGATTCAATTTCAATATGATCATTATTGGGGTTTCGTAGGCAACTTTATTTTGTAAGTCGATGATTAATTGTCAATGATTAAGATTAGTTCCTACTACATAGACAACTAACTACTTTTTATTGGGTGTTTCCATCACAATTTTGAGATTCATTTATGTGGGATGCTTTTTGAAGAGGACATTATGTATCTCTCATAATATATACTCTCAAAGTTTTAATGTTAGGGCCACTGAGCGAGGAGATTTATGAGACAATCATCTAGATCAGGCGCAAATGTATCATATAGATAGTTTCCTCTATCTACTTCAAGTTTGGTTATAAAAGAACTTCAACATTAGAAGATCGACAATCTTTGGTCATTTGAACTTTGGTGTTTAAGTTATATCTACTATAAAAAATATTATCAATTGTTCAATGCTCTTCTATTGGAATTAGTTTGATTTAATGTAATAAAGTTGAGTAAATTATAGAGTTATAAATTTTATTTTACTTTTATGAAAGTTTTGTATTAATGTCTACAACAACAACTACCATAACATCAAGCCTTTATATGTTATCAATCTTTATATGTTATCAAAAGTGAGCTAATCATCCAAGTGATCAATGTATATATGTTATCGGGACCATTCACCATCTTTACTATATTGAAAAATAATCAACTTCAAATTAAATATATAACAGGTCATTAGATGATGCCACAAAATTTTTTATTATCAAAACAAAAAACACATTTTATCTAAATCTTTTACAGAGATATATATTGCTTTGTTCATGAAACCACTATAAATTTATGTACATTTGAATATAACATTGTAAACTTATATAACCTGAAATAGTTCATCACAGTGTATCCACCCTCCTTAAGGTTCCTGTTAGAACTATTAAGAACTCATTTGTCCCCATAAAAATATTTAGCAATCATAACTTTCCTTATTAAATCATTAAAATAAATAATACTTCCGTGTGATTTGTATTGAGACCATGACGAAGCTCACACAACTACTGGAACCATAAAATAAAAAACAAGTGTACAAGAAGATTAGATGACAAGGGGTTATAGGCATCAATTGGAAGATATTTTTTGCAGTAATAATTAATTAATTTGAATTTTAAATAATATGAAATGCTTGTTTAATCATCATTTACAATTACTTGATTCCAAACTCATTTTTTATAGCAGCCGACCAAATTTGGACTACATATACAATACAATACATAATTTATCAAAGAAAAAAAAGGAGATTAAAAAAAAATATAGATATCTTTAAACTGTAACATTAAGGAAGCATACAGCCACCAACACTCCATTTGATTACATTAAAACTTTAGCAAATGCACATGTCATCTAGCAGCTCTTGTTCTTGTTCCATGTGTAAAAAATATATCAAGAAATAGAATTTTAGGCAATATAGATCCCATCTAGTATACAAGGTCCTCTTGACATGAATGAACATTCAGGACTTCAATTATAAGATTGTGTGATGAGAAATCAGCCATGGAAGGTCATCTCAAAAAACAAAACAACTTATTTTCTGCTTCAGGTAACCTTATGCTTCGACTGAAGGATTAGACCTAGTCATTTGGCGTCAGAGCTAGGATACAGAGATGACAACTATTCTCAGGAGTGGGTTGATCTCCTTGGTCTCTAGTTTTTTTGAGAAGCAGCGTAATGAACTGAAATCATTTGATGCTAAGTAGAATGAACATGGTAGATCCTAGACTTTGGGCAAGCCGGTTAAATCCTAACCCAGTGAAAAACCCTTCTCCACATTATCAGCCTCAAATTACAACTCATCCAGCATCTAGCATCAAAATAAATAATAAATACAATAAAAAACTATGTATGTTAATGATTTAATCTCGAGAAAGAGCCAATCTGACCCAGGCTCAAGTGGCAACTCATCCATTTAGCATGCATTGTTTTTAAATTTATAAAATCAACAAACTAATCATCAAAATGATCTTTATGTGCTCAAAACTATGTTGATTGTTATGCGTTCAAGTATAATTATTAGGAGTATTAACACCTTGATTCATATAAACTTCAAATTAAAGGCGATCAATTTATGAATCTGGATTGGTAATGAAAATTTATCAAATTACAAGCAAATTTCATAATGAAAATTTTTGAATATCTATTTATTTTAGTAGGTATAAATTACAATTTAACAAAATAAATACATAAAAATTCCTAAAATAAATTAATTCTGATCATATGTCAAATGTAAGAGTATTTTCTATAATATTTCCTCATATTAAAAGGATATTCAAGAAACTAAATTCTATTTAAATATAAGAGTATACCATTGTAAAGGTGGCAGGATACTGCATATTTTGAAATATGTTCATTATTCTTTACCAATGTAATTCCTGATGAAATGCATATGTTGAAAGCTCCCAACCAAGCTATTTTCAGCATCCTGAACATTGTTGTTAAACTAAATTAAAAAAAAAAAATTGAAAAGCCAGCCTCTTCTCTTTTACTTCCATGTGCAGGTATATGAAGAATATATGGAGAAAATAAGCTAATTTTTTTTAGGGCTAAATTATGGGCAAAGCGTATTCATTTTCTATGAAGAATAGTTATAAGAGAAACAAAAATACAACTCAGTATATAATGAAAGTAAGCACTTGAGCTAAAAAAAAAAAGAGCAAGGCACAACCTCAAAAGGATGAAAAGTTAAATAAATAATAAGATAAGAACATGAACTATAGACTCAAGAGGGCCAAAACTATCTAATGACTAATCATTTTAATTGTCAAAACTAAGAGCCCTTGTTGCCAAAAAGGCCATCCTAGGGCTCCAGCTATGGTGGAAAGGACAAACACCAATCATCATTTCCCAATGTGGAAAAAATCGCAAAAATAAAGCTCCCAAAATCTTATTTTTCCATTAGTGGCCTTTTGATGTTATTTATAACTGTGGATATGCAATTGATGTTATGCCAAAAATATTCATTTATTTCTTTCCCTCTGAATGAAGTAAATAATCAGCATTTTGATAAAAGAGATATGAGTTTTGAAGATAGAGAAGCATGTTGCATATCTTCAACAAATTAAAAAATCTGGAGCATACTTGGTCTTTGGAGAAAAGAGGAAGCAACAAGAAGGATATTGCATATGATAGCACAAGTGAAATCACATTAAAAAAAATTGTTATGTGCTATCCGAGCTAAAAGTGCAAAAAGAGCAATTCCACCTACCACATCCTAAAAGAACATCTTTTGTGCCATGTAAATTTCCACCAAGAGACCGTAACATTATTAGCATAGTAAGCATATATGAAGCAATTCAAGTTGGGATTTAGAGACCCACACCACAATATGTATATGCTTCTATTTTCTTAGGGAAACCTACTACGGGGCTTACTCGTTAATATCAAAAAAATAATTACAAAATTCTTAAAAGAGAACTCAAGCACACTACTATTCCTAAGAGCTACAAAATTAAAAGTAAGAAAAAAAAAACCTACAAGATAGAAATCCTTACTACAAAAAAATACAAACAGACCTAGGTACATTCTATGTTGCACAAGAATGAGCACCTAAAAAACCATACAGGTCAAAAAGACAAAAACCAGCTCCAAAATCCTCCTGAGAAGGCCAACCACCAAAAAACCTGCATTAAACACAACCTGCACCATGAGATAATAGGTAAATAATAGAAAAAATAGTAGGAATATAAAATAGTAAGGATATACCACCAATGTAGAGCCCAATAACCATCAAGAAACTGACAAACCAACCCAATAAAATAATGTTTCCTAAGCCACCAAAAGAGAACGAGAAAGACCAAGATATGTCTCATAGCATTATGCTTAGGACTAACCCCAATACACAACTTACCAAGAGCAAAGAGAGAACCCCTAGTAAAACAAAACCAAAAACCCTCCAGAATACCAACAAAATGCTGAGGAACAACATCACACTCCAAGGACATAGCAGTAACAAAAGCAAAAACCACATGCTCCCATAGCTTGCACCAATAACAATACAATAGCAAACTGAACAACATTAAAGGTAAAACTCGTAAAATGCTACCATAACAACCAAGAAATTATAAGTAAACTCATAGTAGGAAACGAATGACCATTATCCCCAAAAATAAACCAATAATAATAAAACAACATGAAGAACATCCCAAAGGTGAAAACTGTGGACTGCCAGAACAGCTCAACAATAAAACTCAGAAAACTGCACATAACAACAAATAAAACACAAAAATAGTGGATTCCAAAAGAAACGAAAGGAAGCAGACTACAATTCTTGGTTAACTACCACCACAATGCTAAAAAAAATTTACGGAAATCAATCACACCCAAACCACAGTACAAAAATGAAAGAAGGCGAGGCAAATAAAAAAACCACAATAATAAACAGAGGGCCCAACCAACCAAGGGTAACTAAAAAGAAAAAAACAAGACCACAACCAACAAGCATCCACCTTAGGGAATAAGATAAGGAACCCCAATTTTATCTAAGTTGAAGAGACCCCTAACATGCTGCGAGAGATTAAAATAATTGATATCGGTAATGGAAACCAACCCTCTGCCCCACCTGTAATGGCCTTAGCACAAGCATTCCCCTCACCATTAATAATAGAAAAATTCACATTAAGCATGTTCAACCAATTCATAACATCCCTTGTCATGTAAAAAAGCTCAGGATTGCACATCTTGTCATTCCTAAAAATAATAGATTCATAGCAGAAGGAAGTAGAAACCTCCATAATAAGATTAATGTAATCAATAGAAAAGAATAACTTTAAACCATAATTGATAGGAACCGAGATAGTAATATTAACATCACAATTAAAACAAGGGCCACTAAAATTCACAATGTAGTTACCATTAGAATCTCTAATGATTCTGCCACAAGCCATCAATAGTCTCCACATTAACCTTAAAGAATTTGGTAGGAGGTTTCAGCCAAGAAACTCTCTTGGGAGGCATCAGACAAACCTACACAACAAGATTAATCCCAAAGGCAACTACATTAATAAGATGAATTTTGATATTCTTAACCGAGAGTACTTTAACCAAGAAAATATCCCTAATCTTATCTTTAACATTTTGAATAATTCTATTATGATCCATACCTGCACCATTAAGCAAGAATTATTCCTTTCAAACCGTAAAAACCAAAGAATAAGAGAGGGGAGAACATTCTTGATATGACCTTTAATATTAACAAATCAACAATTAAGGAATTAACAGAAATGTATCAGCTTCAAAGTTATTGCTAAACTGCATCATAGGTATAGTATAAAAAATCACAATAGAGAGGATCCCAAGATTGCACCCCAAACCATTAATAATGAAAGAGAAGGGAGTAAGACTATTGAAATAAAATAACAGGATGGACCCAGATAAGATTTCAAATAAACTTTTACCTTCACACAACAAATCCAAAATAAAAGAAAACTTTCCCTCATCTTTAATAATGTACTTAATATAAGGTTTAATGGATCCTGCAAGAATTTTAAAACGGTCCAATTTTTAGAGCCATTAACCATAGTGTTTTGCATCCACTAACAAGAAAGGAGACTTTGACCATCCAAACGTCTTCAAAGCAGAGAGCACTTATCAGCAAAACATATGCAGCAAAAGTAGGAAGACTAAGACTTCCACGTTCTCTAGGTTTATAATATTGCACCAATAAACTAGCAGCATTTGATAGTGAAATGTCACCATAGTACATGAATCTAGATCAAACTTTGTTTAACAATTTATGACAACTTTTAGGTAATATAGAATCTCTGATCCACTATTTCAGATAATAAACTTAAGATACTATAATCTCCAAGCAAAAGAGAGACACTTTGCTTTCCATCCATCAAGAAGAGTGAAGGCTTTGTCCATAAGGGGAGAAAAATATTGAATGAGGAGTCTTTTAATGGACATGGGTATCCCAAAGTAAGTAATTTTTATATTAGGTCTTGTGATATTTAACACTTGGTTGAGATGTATTTGATTGGCAGTGTTGTTCAATAAAATTATGGAACTCTTAGAAGTATTCTATCTAACCCAGAAAGATGTTTAAAGTGATTAAGTATGTCTTTTAAAGCTTGTAAGTTTTAGTTACTAGCCTTTCCAAAGACAAGAAGGTTGTCAAAATACATGAGGTAGGCAATATGAAAGCCAATATGAGCAGTAGAGATGTTGTGAGAATTAATTTACCTATCAAAGAGATTAGAAAGATCTTTCATTCCAATATAATGTATGGAGGAAAACATTGACTTAATCCAAATGAAGAAGAGAAGAAGCATTATGATTCCAATTGATACATATTGAATAATAGACATTCTCAATACAATCTTTAAACCAACTAATGAACATTGGTGGGAACCCATTTTGCTGCATTATAATAAGAACAAATTCTCTAGATACAATATAAAAAACTTTAAAGATATCAGGTTTGGCATAAAAGAAACCATTTTTCTTGGGTTTTTGAAGTCATCAAGAATTTTCTTAGTCAATTTAACATTGTGTGGTTCTTTTGTCAAGAGTTTAAGCTTGCCTACTTTTGAAATAATTTTAGAGGTGTTGCATGGTGAAATGGGCCTATAGTTTGAAAAATTATTTGCATTTTAGTTTTTTGGTATAAGAAAAATCTCACTGGCTATGCTTTTTAAGCAAGTAACTTTTGAGGAAGAATTATTTGACAGTTTTGCAAATATGACTCCCAACCACCTCCTATTAAGAAGCATAAAATTAAAGGTATAACCATCCAGACCACAATAAACCAATCTAGAGAAAGAGTAAATCATAGTTTTAGTTTCCTCATTCTGTAACTAGGGCAATTAAAGCAAAAATTAGGTGTTTTGGAACCTTGTCATATATTAGAGGGGTGACATCACCATCATTCTTGAAAATTAAAACACCCTTATAGTGATGAATAGTTGCCTCGACAATACTAGTAAGATCAATAAATATCCCTAGAAATCATTCTGTAATGCAATTGTGATTTTTTCCATATAATGATTTTCCTAGAAAGAAACTTAAGATCTTCCTTCCCATTCTCAAGCCACTTGGCCCTACCTCTTTGAATTTCCCAGGAAGCACAAGCATTATAAGCAATTAGTACCTTTAAAAAGAATTGTGTGCCAATCAAGAGGAAAGTCCTAGAACAGGTTTTTATTTTTCTTTGTGACAGCAAAAGGGTGTATACTTTCTTCTGTGACAAAGGCAACAATGGCAGAATGTAAAAGATTAAGGGAATAAATGGCTTCATATATCACTTCTATAATTAAAAAGCTCCTCCATCAATTAAAAGTAGGATAGATAAAAAATTGGTTTATTCTAATTTTAAATATTTATATATTTTTAGATTAAAATAACATATTAATATTATTCATTAAGATATAAATTAAATTTTTAAAAAATTATAAATTATATACAAAGTAATTTATTATTAATTAATAATTTATTAATTGATGAAATTATTATTATATATAGTTTACCTGGATAAGGCATAAGTTCATACATTGTATTAATGATAATATCATAATATATGTCTCCATTATTACCATCATGAATCTTTCTCGTTAGAAACACCCAACAAGTAGTTTTTTTTTTTTTTAAAGAAAGCCAAAGCTTATGAATTACTTAAAAAAAAGAAGCAACTATAGGCTAGATTCCTCCTTCAACATATTGAAAAAAGAAGGAGGAACCTTATTCTCAGAACAATCCACCCAATCAAAGCTACTAAATAGTGCATAGTTAGCACATAAATTTGCTAACATATTCCAATATCTACTAATACAATTAAAAATGATGAAGTTAAAGTTTGAAAGAAATTCCATACCCTCATCCTTGAACTTCCCTGTTTTTCAAGCTTTTTTAAAGTAAGAGATGATGTTTGAATTGTCTCCTTCTATGATAATGCCCTTGTATTTGAACATCCAATCCTTTATCTCATCCTTTAGAGATTGAATAGCAAGCAATTCCAATTGAGCTATGTCCCAATAAAAAAGAGATTTTCCATAATCAAAAAGGAACCTTCCATTGCTATCTCGGAAGACAACACCAATTCCTGCTTTGTACGAAGAAAGTAGTGAAGCATCTACATTAACCTTTAGCCAATTAAGTGGAGGAGGATGCCAAGCTTTAGACAGTCGTAACGACTGATTAACATCCAAAAAGCCCAAGTTGTATTGAATAAAGTTATGAGAATTTGATGTTTGACAAATAGCATTTGAAGCTAAAAAACTGGAATTGTCTTCAACCCCATCATGGATGAATTTGTTTCTACTTTTCCAAGCTAGAAACAGTGTGTTACAATACAAATTTATCATCATTCCTTTCTTCACAATATTGGATTCATTCCAATTAATATGCTCCTTTCTCTAAAACATAGGAATGTTGAATCCCCAATTGTTTAAATGCTGGATTATCTCCCTCAATTTTCTGCAGTTGCAAATTATGTGCTCCACATCTTCTATTGCTTCACATCCTCTTGGACAGTTAGAATTCTGGATTAGTCTTCTATAGCATTGAAATTGGAGTGAGGGAATAGCATTTCTATTCATTCTCCACCATAATACCTCCACCCGTGCATTCAATTTCGCCTTTATGATCCAATTCCAGTTTAAATCGTTCACCATCTCATAAGTAGCAGATTTGCTGATTAGGCCTGGGATTGTCTTTCCAAACTTTTGATTTGTCAGTTCCATGTAGTCATCATGATTGATCAAATTAATAAGGTCCCTACCAAATTATTTACTCAGCTCTTGATCATTCCATTGAGCATCCTGAATGAACTCTTTTACACGAACCGTGCTGCCTTCAAACGGGATAACAAATGCAGGCCATATGTTTATACATTTGACCAGAATCCATGTATCTTCAAAAGCATCCACCGAATCTCCATTAGCTATCCTCCATCTCCATTAGCAACACCGATGGTTCACTTATATTGAGATTGTTGAGTATGAGATGGCAATTATTAGTTGTCTGCACTTCTTGATGCCTTCCGAGAGGATCAGATTGGGGCAATTTTTAATTTTGAAGTATCTAAGCGCCGCAAGTCTTGATATTTCATCAGCTAGAGGAAGAGTTGCTACAGGAGGTCTTGAAGAAAAATATTGTTTTATTTTTAGCTTGAATTCAAGTCAATTTTGTGTAAAAATATATTAGATTAACTATATTCACTTGAACAGCGGGCTTACTACTAGTTTTTATTGTTTCTTTTAAATTTGTTCTTTTGTTGAATGGAAGAATGAAAAATGTAAAGAAAATTATTTTTGATGTAATAGTTTTTTGCATTATATATATTTTTTAATTTGTGTTATCCTTTAGCATTGATTATAACACTTCCTAAAAGCATTGTTGTAGCCTTCCTGAAGCTGCATTCATGAAACCTTTGCTAAAGCCTTTGTAGCGAATGCAAATACAGCAGAAAACTTATTTTTTTACTAGTGATATATGCTTTTTATTATTGTTACCTCAAGTTAAAAAAATGTGTTATTTCTCTATTATGAAAATTTTCTAACTAGTTGCAATATAAAGGAGTAATGGATTGATCTTAATTGTTATAGCCAAGGTATAATAATTGGATAATATTTTTTTTACTAAATGTCATAACTTTTATATCTAAAAATATATTTCAAAGCTTTATGAAATTATAGGGGTATGTGATTTATTAGTTGATCATTTTGCGACCAATTTTTATTTTGGTTGCTAAAGGGAAAATGTAATAAATAAAATTAATTATTAAAATTATTAAATAGCATCCAAATAAATATGATTAGCGTCTAAAAAAAATGGTCGCTAATAAGTCTAATTTTAGCGACCAATACTAATTAGTGGTCGCTAATTTAGCAACCTAAAAAATTTTTTGGTCGCTAAAAGCCTCAGCGACGAGGCTACTGTGACAAATCAGCGACCCAAATATTTTTGGTCGCTATTTGCTTTAGCGTCCAAATTAACATTTTTAGCGACCAATTTTGTTGGTCGCTAATTACCTATTTTCTTGTAGTGCATTGAGCCATTATTTTTATTCCAAATGAAATTTTTACATAATATGTCAAATTCTACTAGCAGCTTTTTGGGCATTAAAGAATGAGTTGCATAATAGGTTGGAAGAGCTAGTAAAACTGAATTTACCAATATACTTTAACTGAGTAGTGATAAGCTTTTGCTCCCCCATTGATTAAGCTTCCTTAAGGCATTGTCAAT